TCTCTCTCTCTCTCTCTCTCTCTCTCTCTCTCTCTCTCTCTCTCTCTCTCTCTCTCTCTCTCTCTCTCTCTCTCTCTCTCTCTCTATCTCTCTCTCTCATTTTCAGTTACTTCCATAATAAGTTACATGTAACAACAATACTGCTAATTCCATACAAAAGATGTATTCAAAACTGTGGAATCTACACTAAATTCTCATTAAACCATTAAAATATAAATGCATTTCAAAATCATTTTGTCATCAGATCACATGGTAAGTATATGCATAAGAATATATGAGCATTTTCCATAGAATGAAATCATTCTTCAGAAAAAAATCAAAACATACAAAAGTAATACAAAAAAATCACAATTTCTTTCTTATAAATAACTAGCTAAAGCTAACAGGAAAAAAAAAAGACAACCTAAAACTAACACATAAAATCTACTCAGTCCTATACTTCTTCGTTCGATTGGGTTTCTTGCACAAGATGAAGGCGATGATGGTGACCACCTGACCCACTAGGTATGCCACAACTATGAAGACGGCAGGGTAGTAGACGTCGGGGAGGGAGGCTTCAGGGAGACCCATGTACCTTAGGGCTTGAGCACCAGTGACAACACCACAGGGAGCCTGGAGAAGGAGGAGACGGAAACAATTGAGAGGGGGGAGCTGAGGGGTATTTAATTGGCTGTAAGATTGAGGATAAAATAAATTGAATTTAATTAAAGGTGGGATATGTTTATCCTTTTACTGCATCTTTAGTTTCTGTAGATTTTATTTCAATTGGATGAGAGTCCAATATTGAGTTGCATCAAATTATTTTTACAATCCACAGGCCATACTAAAGATCAATCTGTCTGAAAAGTCTGCATCATCTATATAATATCTAAAACTGTAGAATATCTACACAATGTAAATATCTAAGTAAGTAGCCATTTGCTTATATATTTTTTTCAAACAAATTAATGACCAGTAGAGTTTCAAACAAATCCAACAAACAAACATTTACCTTTCTCTGGATTACGGAGAGAGAATCCTGGAGAACAGGATTACGGTCACACAGGAACTCGCTCTTGCTGCTAAATTCATAGCGATTTACTTCATGCAGGATCCACCTGACGGGAGACCACCATAATGTCGGCCAAGTCCAGGTTGACATATCCTATGGTGAGAAAGAAGAACTTCATTAAGCTGTTCATCTACAAATAGTTATGAATTCTGTTCTTTTGATTCAAACTAATAGTATCTGTGGCTTGATCATATTATTACAATATCCATAATCAAACTATTTCATTGTGTGTTATCATCAAAATTGTATTTTCATATCACTTTCATCTGTGAACAAAGTTCAGAATCATCTCTATTACTATCTTCTTAAAAGTGATATTGAAGCAGAACTTTAGATTTTTTAAATCTCCTCGTATAAAACATTAAACAAAAGAAAAAAAGAAAAAGAAAACATTAAATCTAATATTAGAATAAATTCAGGTCCAGCTTTATAAAACACATCAAACCAATACTTAGCAATTATTCCAGTATGATGGGAAAAAAAAAAATCATCTACTTACCAAGGGATGTACAGTGAAGCCTGAGCCTATTGTGGCCACTGTAAGCACAATGCCAGTAGACATAGCAGCCATGTGACGTGTGTTGAACAGGCAGGCAGAGGCAATGGCTATAGATCGAGCAGCAAAGAGGTACAGGAGCATGTAACCAACATAAATGTAGAACTTCTCAGCTGAGGGGAATCCAGCAAGAGTGTAAGCCGGGAGAATGTATGCCAAAAATACACCTCCAGCTGCTAAGAAGCTGTAGCATATCTGTAAGAAAGGAAATGACCAGTTACAGTTAATGGTGTAAAAGGGAAAGTGATGGAAACACTGTCTTTCAACACAGACCTGTAATCTCAGACATTTCTCAATTATCTCAATGTAGTACAATATCACAGAAAAAAAAATTAGCCATATGAACTCTTATTCTTAAATGAAAAGCAATGTTATCTCATATTCAAAACATATTTACAGGAAATATGAAATAATATGATTCCAGTAATATGAGAAATTCTTTTACCTAACTATAATTACAAGATAGGTTCTGCAACTCTTCACTGAACCACATGATATAATCTTTGGATGTATTTACATTCATATTCATACCATGAGAAAAAAAAAAGTGGCTTCTGTTAAGTGGATGAATCAATAATACATACAGTGGAAAAATAAAGTTCAACTCACTTTAGTTACGATATATATCCCCCTAGAGTACAGTCCATCTCCAATGTCCCTTGCTACTGCTGGCTTGTCTCTCCAGACTTCCGAAATAGCCATGAGGAGCACAGGCCACAGAGCAATGCCAGCCATGGAATAGTGGAATCCAGCCCTGTTATTGACGCTTTCCTGATGCTGTGTCGGGGCACTTCGCACGTCCCAAAACACGGCACCCACAAGGAGAGACATGATGCCCGCTACCATTGTCATGCCCAGCCAGTGCATCATGTTGTATGGGAACTGGTAGATCATGGCACGGCTGTAAGAGAGAAGGAAACTGTTATTTTTCTGCATGATTTTCTTGGACTGGGAACAGAATGTAAAATCAAAGCAACATATACATGTCAGATTTAATGGCATTATTCATTTAGTGGATCATGAATACATGTTATTTACTACTGGTTTCTTAAAACTGAAGATGAGTGGTGCACATATTCCTAAGTATTAATTTTATATTATCTCAGCATTTCTAGCAGTTTACCCATAAGACTACCATGGAATCAGCTAATCTAAAATTTTGGGTTTGCTACTTAAATTATTTCCTGAAAAAAAAAGATAATATAGCTTCATGTGTCTCAAGAACAAAACTTTGGAAATTAGATAAACATAATAACTTCATATAACATATATAACAAAAAGAAAAAAAATCATTGAAAAAACAGAAAACCTTAGTATCCCCTTGGCCCTGAAGCATTCATACATGCAAGCTAATCAATAAACCAAATCCAATCCATCATAAATGACACCCAACAAATGTAATACGATATAAACCCAATCCAAACATTCCTTAATTCATATCCTTTCTGCCAGTGAAAAACAACTCTTCCTTTTTATAGATGTTAACAACAAACAACTCTTCTTTTTCATAGATGTTAACAACAAACAACTCTTCCTTTTTATAGATGTTAACAACAAATAACTCTTCTCTTTTATAGATGTTAACAACAAACAACTCTTCCTTTTTATAGATGTTAATGACAGTTTCAAAACCATAAAAAATGAATTTTGTAAAAAAAACACCCTCTCCTGTCCTACAACAAACAAACCTCAGAGGTAACTCACATCCACAACCCAAGAAGCTGCATACAGATGTTCTCTTTGCGGACTTTGGGAGGAAGAGGGCCGGGGGGGCCAGGGTCGCTGAGGGCCTCCTGACGTCTCCTGAAGGTCTCGGCCAGCATCTCAACCCTCTGGGAGGATTCCAGCATGGCCTCTGCACTCAGGTCATCCAGGGTCACAAGGTCAACTGTGGAAGTAGGGGTGAGTTGAAGTGCTATGCTTTGGATATTCATATATATGAGTGTGTGTGTGTGTGTGTGTGTGTGTGTGTGTGTGTGTGTGTGTGTGTGTGTGTGTGTGTGTGTGTGTGTGTGTGTGTGTGTGTGTGTGTGTGTGTGTATTATATATATATTATATATATTATATATATTATAAATATATTTATATGTCCATATATATGTATATATATATCTATTTATATCTATCTATATCTATCTATCTCTATATATATACATACATACATATATATATATATATATATATATATATATATATATATATATATATATATATATATATATATATATATATATATATATATATATATACATATATATACATATATATATACATATATACATATATATATGTGTTTGTATATATATATATATATATATATATATATATATATATATATATATATATATATATATATATATATATATATTTACACATATATTATATATATATATATATATATATATATATATATATATATATATATATATATATATATATATATATATATATATATATATATATATATATTTACACATATATATAGATAATTTGCTTATCTTATGCTGGTATATATTTGTATAAAAGTCTCATATTACACAATAGAAATGTATATATGGACAAAAAGATTCATATTCAGAGAGGAAATTACATATACAGATGCCATTATATATACACATATATACGTATACACAGAAATAACTCACGGTAGTAGTCAGACGGGTTCTTGTAGGCTGGGCATGGGTACTCAATGAAGGCAAAATAAGGCAGCATCTCCCTCCGACGTCCGAAGTACATGAGGCGGCCCGTTGAGATGAGCGCCACTCGGGAGATCATTGTAAATATCTCGTACGTTGGAGGCTGGATGGTCAGGATCTGTACAAGGGAAAAGGGTCTTAGGCAGAGGCATGTCGTTTTTAGAAGGGGGAGAGTGAAAAGAGGGGAGAGGGAGAGGGGAGAGGGGGAGGGACAGGGAGAGGGAGAGGGAGAGGGAGAGGGAGAGAGGAGAGGGAGAGAGGAGAGGGGAGAGGGGTGTGAGAAGGGGAGAGGGGGGGAGGGGAGAGGGGAGAGAGGAGAGGGGAGGGGTGTGTGTGAGAAGGGGAGAGGGAGGAGGGGAGAGAGAAGAAGAGGGGGAGAGTTTGAGGGAGGTAGATTTAAGAAGAAGGAAAAAACACACTTTTAAAAATAATTAAATGCGAAACAAAAGAACATCACCCACAACACAAGACAACAAAAGCAACAACACCTACCACAGCAACAACATAGAACACCTTGAACCACTCACCACAATCCTCCCTCGACACGCCCACTGCCTCAGGTACTCGACCAGGAAGAAGGTGTCGAAGATGTCCATCCCTCGCGTGGGCTGGTCAAGGAGCACCACATCCGTCTCGAGGAGCAGGTGACACGCCACGTTCAGCCTCCGCCGCTCACTCAGGGTCAGGTCCTTGACGC